TTAGGTACCTGTCTTAATTGTGGTTGGCTGTGTGTTGAGTTGGCTTCCCACTTATAAAGGGGCTGAGCAATAAAAGACTCTAGGGTATTGATTGGGGGAATGGGTTCTAAGTGACTATTTACCCCTTTTGGGTGGAATAGAACAATGTGCTTCAGTCTTTGCTCTTAAAATGTGTATTGGGACTACTAACTTTTCCATTGGAAGTGCCCCTGGATGCCAAGGAATGAGTAATAGGGCTTTTGTCTGATTCTGGAAGAAAGGGCATCAGTAATTCATAGGGGAAAAACTGGAGTGCAAATTTTGGCAACATTAAATACCAATTTAAAATGCCCCTTGTCAGGGGCTTCTCATTCTGTTAGTTACCCTGAGGGCATTCTGTGCCTAAAACTTACAAACTCTGCGCACAATATTTTAAAATTCTGCAAATTTTGTCAAATAAATGTGGCTCCAGCATGGCATTGGGGAGCACAGGCCACTGGCTGCACAGAGATGTGCAACTCCTTCCTGGGACACGGACTCAGCGGTGAGCCTGCACCCAGCCCTGACACAGCACAAGGACCAGGCCTGCCCCTCCATGCCAGGTGAACCAGGTGTGGGCAGGTAGGCTCAGGAAGGCAGGATCCAAGTGTAGAGGGGCTTAGTGTCGGAAAAGCCAGGTGTGGGTTGAGGGGGTTCTGTGTGGGGTAATCTGGGTGAGAGCAGCTCAATGGGCGAATTTAGCTGCACAGGGTCTTGTTGGAGGGTTCTGGGTGCAATGGTAATGGGATTCTGTAGGGGGGTCCAGGTGAAGGTGGTTGGGGCTCAGCGGTGGGTGGGGTGGATGTGGGGGGGGGCTAAGTGTGCAGGGGTGGGGGGGGGGGGGGGGGATGTCCAGATACGGGGGGAGTGGGGCTCTGGGGTGGGGATCCAGGAGCAGCAGGTGAGGACTTGGTAGGGTGAGTATCCAGGTGCAAGTGGCTTGTTGGGAGTGGTCCAGGTGTAAGGGGAGCGGGGTTCATTGCAGGGATTCTGGGTGCAGGAGGGGTGAGGCTCAGCGGGAGGGTCTGGGTATGAGGGGGGTCTGGATGCATGGTGGTTGGGCAGATTGGTAAACAGCTACCTGGACAGTGAGCCCTCCCCCCCCTGCAGCTTCCTACAGCCGGGGGAGAAATCTGGGGGTGGGTCTGACCCAGCCCTGGATGCCGTTCAGGGGAAGAGGAAGTCCCGTCCTCCCCAGCCCAGCCGGGACTAGCAGCTGAGCCACTAGCTGGGTCTTCCCCTGCCCCGTCCCTGCCCCCCCAGTGATTTACCTCTCTGCCGGCTGCCCTGGGCACCCAAAACATACTGCTGGGGAGAGTCTCATGACTGCTTGTGTGGCTTCCCTTTGCTTCCTTTGTCAGAAAGTCATTTTTCTGCAGGGGACATAAATTCTACACATGCGCAGAGGTGCAGAATTTTCACAGGAGTATGTTAGTGCTCTCTCTACCATGTTACAGCTGTTGTTAGCATGAACTGTTCAAATATTGTGCTTTATAAAAGCAGTCACTCTAGCAGGTGGAGCCTTACTGCTTGAATCACTGACAATGTCTTAGGAAGGCTGAGATTCCTGGGGCACTAATGTCACACACTAGTGATCTTTTAATCTTTGATTGCACTTTTATGTCAGGCATATGAAAACACACTAAACTGGTACATGTTGATAATGCAGAAGCGGTACTAACCTACAGCATGAATCAATAAGATTTATTAGCAAAAGTGGCATATGGTCTGCAAAGACACAAGCTATGTACATCACTTGGGAAGGAGGTGTGCATATGTCAAAAATCTAAGAGCAGAGAACATACAGTTGCATGAAAACATGCAAGTGAGAGCACAGAGGTGTTATATCCTTTTTTCTGTTGCTATGGTGAACACTGACTTCAGCATTAGAGTATGACAGGAAGATTGAATTTGACTATGCAATATTAAAACTTGGAAAATGCTGAGAGAATGATCACTGCACATACTGGTCAACTTATACTACTACCGTTAAGCTTTGTTCAGCTTTTACACTGTTTCTTGCCATGTGTTGCCTTAATTCTGCTCTCATTTATACCGTACACTTTCACTTAGGAGTTGTTAAAATTTGAGACTTGCATTTTGAGGCCGTATCTCAGTGCAGAAATTGAAGTAGAGATAGGAAGGGTGTTACTTTGGTAACACCCAAAAGATCAGAGTAGTGGGAATGGGTATTTTCTTCATCTTTCTGCAGCTTGGAAATAATATTTAATGAACCAGCAGAGGCTGGGAATGTAGCTATCTGCTCACATGGTGTGGCTGGTCAAACTAAAGCCATGGTAGTCTCTGCCTAGTTGAGATAAAAGTTTGTAGTGTCAAGTTTGAATGACCTTCCCCTACTTTTAAAGAATTGAAAATGTTTTATTGGCCTGTTGTATAAAATTTAAGCTCTACACGCTAAATAGCTTTGGCCCAGCCTTGGAAGAAAGCCATAGACCTTTTAAGTTTCACTGAACTAGGATAACTATGGATTGAAGAAGTTGCAGTCTACAGCAATGGTAGCAGATGCTTCTAAGTTCTGAGCTCAAACGAGCTCATACTTAAGAAATTTTCAGACTACTCTACTGAACTGACTGCATCTTCTATCAGGTATAAATGGAGGCAATTAAACAGACTGCTTCTGCTCCCTAGCTCTCTGGAGCAGTGATGTATAGCCTTTCTGCTTAATAAAACATTTACTTAAAATATTTGTAGCCACTAAATATTTTTCAGGGAAGAATCTCTCCTAAAATTAGAACTCCCATGTTAGCTTTTAGGCCAAAAGCTTCATTACTTGTCAAGTTGGAAATAACACACTTTAAACTCTCATTAAAAGATGAGGTCCTTAAACTGTTAATTCAGTAGTATGGTTCCATGTACAATCTTAATTCTGATTGTATATCCTCCACCTAACATGGATATTTTTTTCTCTTAAACAGTGGAAACACAGAAGGTGGCTACTGTCTTTTCTGTGGAAAACGGGTGAAGCCTCAGCTTTCTTAGCGAATATGGTATTGAGATCTACAGTAAATGTAGCAAGAACACAGCTATAGAAGAGCTCCTATGCTTTAAGTGAGAGTGCAGCTTTGTTAAACTCCTTTGGAAGGAAAAAGACCTTGCCCTCAGTGAGTTGGATGGTCAAGGAATGCTGAGATTCATTTATATCAAGTTCGTTTTAACTGGCTGTTTCCTTTATACTGAAAAAAAAATTAAATTCAAATGCACGCAGTCTGAAAAAGGGGCAGATATCTGAGCAGAGGATATGGGAAATCTTTCCTTCCTAACTAAACATCTAGATGCTTTTGTACAGACCTTCATATACCCCTAGGGCCCACACCAGACTGCCATTGGCTGAGTTTTAAGTCCTTTCAGATTCATGTAATGAAAGCTATGTAAACAGTCTTGGTAGAGAGTGTTCTATTTAAAAGCAGAACAATTGCTGTAGCTACTGTGCACCCATAGTTGGGCAAGAGTACATTGACAAACATTCTACCACAAGCTGTATGCAGAGGCCCAGTATGCTAGTATTGTGGTATTCAGGCAGTAAATAAATTAGTGTGCAGAGATGGATGCTGTTGCAATACTACTGATTGTGTGCCTCCATGGAAGAACTTCTGGAGGACTGTTTACTGGGAGTAGGGGATTGATGGTAACGATGCTAGTCCTGCTACATACAATGGCAAACTCCAGGCTTGCTAGTCCTGCTAAGTAGGATGCTAAACTCAGAACTAGCAGCTGGAACCCTGTCAATACAGTTATTAGCCTGGACTCTTCACTACATCTTGAGTAAGATAACATGCCCCTTTAAATATGTGCACAGGCAATATTAGAGCAGTGATCAGGCACTAGCATAGTAGGATGAATTGGTGACTGCAAGTTAATGCCATTGTCTGCATCCAAAGATACAGGCTGATTTGGACTAGCTGAAGGGTAGGCAATGGAAAGTTGTGGGAGTAATGGTTAAACCCTTGAACCTTCAGAATGAGTGAGATTCTTTTATCACAGATGTAGCTTCTCCTGACCACCCTACTCCTGCTACACACTTCATGAAACTGGCATGTACCTGGAGCTATATTAGGCTTTATTGCAGTGCCTGTGCTCCCGCCTTGTACTGCCTCACCTCTTGTTGCCTTGCTATTCAGGCCAGCAACTAATAATGGAGTAGGTGAGTAGGCAAGCCACAGTACCTTGTCTTACTCCATGCATGATTCTTATGTAACCCTTCTTCCCCATCAGGAGTACATTTATATACAAGGGTGCTATGCTGGAACTTGGTGTATTGGACTTTAAAATCATGCGTTTGCTCAAGGCAGAGATGACAGCTTCTACTGAAAGTGTTCCTTTGAGCACCCTTTAAGGTCGCTGTAGGGTTAGATTTTTTTTTTTTTTTTGGGGGGGAAAGCTGGGGAGTAAACCTGTCTAGTCTCTCCCAGCTGTTGTATGCTAGATTGCTGATCTGCCCCCTCCACTGCCCTCCAGCAGGCAGACCTCCTGTATGCTCAATCTCCCTGAAGCACTTTTGGTTGACATTTGAGGGATGACATCCTCTGGATCTCAGGACTGCTTAGCTGACTAGTTTGTGTCAAAAGGTACTCTCTACAGGACTCCTCTGCTCCTAGTCTGACCAGCAGAAACGTGAGTGTTTTATACTGCTACTCATCACTATCTATCCATCCAGTGGCAACTACACCAGATAGTTATGTGCTACCTGGAAACTAGGGAGCTTGCCCCAGGCAGCTGGCTATTTGAGTCCCTTTTTTTTGGAACACTCTTACAATGTCCCCAAAATAAAGATGCCCATTAAGTTGTAGGCTCATAGAATAGCTTGTGAATTTAAGGTTTGGAATAGGAGTATCACTAATCTTAGTTTTTTTTAAATTACTGCAGTGGTCTCCCATCTCTAACAGTCAGGACTTTGAGACCTCTGCAGATTTCTCCAATATTTTACTTGGAATGGCTCAAGATTGAGTTAGGGAAGCCAGAAATGCATCACGAGTTTTTATTTTGCAATGAGTGCAATATTACAGGTAAAACTCAGTTTTATAGTCCCATAGTATACAGAACTAAACAAAGACATTCTACCATGCTGTATGTACTGTACATAAAAACCTGGTCAAGATCTTCAGTGTGAGACTAATACCCTAAAGCAGTGCCTTTGCTGTTAGAAGTTGTATTAAGTTTGCATGTATGTGAACAATTTAGTACTAACATTTACAGTAAGGCAGTGTTACAACCACTTCAACTTCTAAACAATCTCAAAAATATAGGGTCTCCTATATAAGATAGCAAGCAAAAGGAGTAACGCCATTCATCTTTTAAGAGGTAAAGCACAGCCCTACAGGTTTAAAGGAATAAGTGTCAAGCCAGTTTAGTGCCCTGTTCCCCAGTTTTTTGTTTTTATTTTTAAATAGGCATATCCAGCAGTTTTACTTAAAAGGGAAGACTTCAGGATTGTGCAGGTACAGCCGGCACAAGGATTTCTACTTTATAGCTTTTGCTCAGTTCTCACCTGTAGTACTGCAAAGATCTTCAGCCTGATGAGTTTTATCAAGCTACTAGGCAAGCTTAACTGACCACATTCAACACTTTCCTAGCTGCGATAGCTCTGGAAGAAGTTCTTGTATCTCTATGAACATCGGCAATAGAAGTGCTTCTATTGGAGGTAAGTGTCAAGTTTTTTCTTGATATTGTCAAAGGAGTCTGCTCCCATGTAGTCAGCCTGGCCTTGCTCCCACCTCTCCTTCCGTTCTTCTGAAGATTCAGCTGGTGGGGGAGATGATGGCGAAGTTAGTGCTGCTGCTGAAAGTGACATGTGGGACACTGCCTCTGTAATCTCATCCTGGAAGGAGAGCATAGTAAGTAGACTGTATAAGAGTTATAGGGCCTATTTCTAAGCAAGCAATAGAGGGCTGAGGGTGGGAGAACCAATGAGATGTTCTCATGCAAAGCAGCAAGCACTGTTTGGAAAAAAAAAAAAAATGCAGGGTTTATACAACTTTCCTAGCCAAAGAGAAAAATGAACAAATTGAGAAGTCAATGGAGAGCGCACAGGAAAGTACTGGTCAATATCGGTTTAAGTTCTTCATACCTCTCTACAGAAGCCACAAGAGAAAGCCAGAGAATAGACCAAGCCCGATAGCTGCAAATAGTTCATTAGAAAGGTGTAAGATGGACAAGAGAAAGCATAGCTCTAAAACAGATCAGTAACTTTGGGCTTAGAAAGGTTGAGAACTTAAAACTACTTTATTTTTGGTTATACTAAATTTAGTATAAAGTTACTGCAAAGCTGCATTCCATTCATGCTATTAAACTCCATGTGTAAAAGATTAAAATAAAGATAGAAAGTTACCTTAACCTATACTTTCCACTTGCTCTACAGATGCAATCTTCCTAGACTAGCTTTTCTCCCCTCCCTCCTATAGAGACTGTCAATACCAGCCTGTGGAGTGTCGCAGGAGCACTCCTAGTATGCCAAGTTCTCTTTTAGTCATGCTTATAACCATCTGCAGCCTCAGTCTGAGATGCATGAATATTAGTGCAGCTACATTACTTCTACAGAGTAGCTTCTGAACTGCAAGGCTGATCACACCCATATATATCACATCACTGTAGTGGTGGCCATCATTGCACACACTGTCATCCAGGGAGAGATCTTAACCACTGTATGAGATTGCTTGTTCTCACCTAATGTTCAGAATTCAGTTTTGTGATAAGGGGGAACCTCTAACACAGGAGGTCTCTGCTCAATCCTAGTTTTAATTTTAGGCCATTCAGCATCAACATTTTGCTCTTCATCAGTCTTTAGGGAGCATAAAATGGGGGTTCACTCTGGCCAGTAAGGGTGGGTTACAAGGTATTTCTGTATGGCCTTTTCCACTGAATGGAATCATTTCCGGAATATCTGGAGTAAGTCTTGATATTCAGTAAAAATTCAGTACTTTGTTACAAGACAAAAATCCTTTTAAAAAAGATAAGGGGGTTAATATTTCTACAGTGTTAGCAGAACTTCAGTACGAGAAGTAAATAGAGACAAAGTTTAGTCTCACACGTTCAAGCACTTTCCAACTTGGGATGTGTGGACTTTGGAAAGTTAGAGACATTTAGTTCAGCATATTTGGGAACACCTGTTGTAGAACTATTCGAATTTAATCTGGTGAGCTTTAAGCTGGTTAACAGCCAGATAATTCCTATTAGTTAGTACAAATGTTAGGTTGCTACAAATTACTTAAGGACTTCAGGATCCTGACTCCTTGTTTTGTCATACAACATTTTTGTTTGGGTATCATCTGTGGGGACTGACCCCCAAAACAATGAGCCTTTACTGCTTGAGCTAGAAGACCAAGTCTGTTCGCTTGAAGTCAGTGAGAGTCAGGCCTCTGTATGTAGTTGGGGGGGAAAAAATTTACCCCAGTTTGGTTTCTACACCATTGTTAGTAGCCACTTTTGCAGTTCACAGTACACCTCTACCCCGATATAACACTGTCATTGGGAGCCAAAAATATCTTACCGCGTTATAGGTGAAACCACGTTATAGCGAACTTGCTTTGATCCGCTGGAGCACTGCTTTACCGCGTTATATCCGAATTCGGGTTATATCGGGTCGTGTTATATTAGGGTAGAGGTGTAGTTATTTAGAAAGGGAGGTGGGTAAACAGTTACACCAGTGACCAGACTAACCCAGTTATTTCCTCTGTTCTACTTTATTTCAAGTCTTAAACAAGGAGTTGAAAAAAGCTGTGCTTCAAGTCAATGGATTCTCCCTGAAGCCTTCAGTAATTTGAAGTCTGGGATGGGGGAAGTACAGAACATCCGCATTTAGAATGTTTCAATGCAGGTATCTAAGATACAAGATGACGACATACCGCCTTTACACCTGTAGTGGCGTCTTTAACAATTCCATGTTGTTCTAGTAGGGGTAAGATGTTGGTGATGAAGGTATGCCACCACATGTTGAGGAATTCTGGGTGAACCATTGTGGGATCACTTGTGTCACCTTTTATGCTTTTGGTTTTAGAGTCATATGTGTAATTCCATGGTTTCATTCTTCCTAGGAAATGCACCACTTTAGCATTTGAACCAAACCTGCCAAACAAAGGAATCTGAATTAGATACCAGATGTCCAGGAAAAGTACATACATGATAGCTTTTTCTTTAGGAGATGGAATGCTAAGAAATTGCAACTGCCTACTGGCACTGAAAGCATCACTATGCAAGAGGAGAATGCAGATAGACTTCTACCTCAAATAGCTTATTGAGATTGAAAATAGCCAAAACCTAGTGGTTTGGGCCATTTCAGTACTTACAGCAGCCAGTCTCTTGGTAGTTTGGTGTCCAGGAGAGCTCAGGATCGAACAGTCTCAAGCAGCAGTTGCAATCAGAACAAGTTTTAAGAGTGAGAGTTTCCACTACAGATTCAGTGATCCAAATAGATAGACACCATACACTTAGCTAATCAGCCATCAGTGACAAGATCACTGGTTTTTTTTAGTCTTCAGCCCTACAGAAGGGGAGGTTTGAGTTGGTCAGAATATCCAGCTTCAGAAAGCTTCTGCCACTGCAGCGGGTAGTCCAGGCATCCTTGAAGGATACAGTCTGTCTCACCTGCCATGGTGAGCCTGCATGGAGGTGTTTTAATGATTCTCCCTCCCCCTTCCCCCCCCCCCCCCATTGCTGCCTTGACAAATTTCTTTCTTCAAATACATGGCTGTTCAGAACCCTTAAAATCTTGGCTCTCCAGGTAGATCAAGAATGTCTGATTACACTTAGTTTTTATGGAAGGGCTACATAAATCATCATGCAGCTATAGTGAGTGTATTTTTTAAAGTCCCTTTACCTTGCTAGTAGTAGTCTAGTAGGATCAGAGAGCCCACCCCAGTGAACTCTTGGTGTTACATTGCTATAGACTTTGCCTCCACTCAAAGTATGAGTTAGGGCTAGTCTACACTGGCAATGCTAAAGCGCTGCTGCAGCGGCGCTTGAACGTGGCTTGTGTAGTCTAAAAAAACCCCACCTCCACGAGGGGCGTAGCTCCCAGCGCTGGTGCATTGTTTACACTGACGCTTTACAGCACTGAAACTTGCTGCTCTCAGGGGGATGTTTTTTCACACCCCTGAGTGAGAAAGTTGCAGCGCTGTAAAGTGCCAGTGTAGACAAGCCCTTAGAGTTTCTAGCCCTTCTGGTTGCAGAGGAAGCTTTCTATCAGGAACCTAGTCAAGCAGTACGCTGTCTTCTCAAGTCTGCAGGCAGAAATCTTCCCAATGGTGAACTGCCTCATTTTCATTTTAGTGAAAACTTTAAATCAGTGGTTTTTGATATCCATATTCCCCATTTCACTTCTGATCATGTCAGCAGAAATCAGATCATTCAACAAGCCCAGGTTACCTTCCCGGATGCCCTGGCTCTCTCCTCAGCAGCTGGGAAATACTCCCACTTTCCTCAGCTCTTGGGGTAAACATAGCTCCATTGAGAAGATATGCAGCATGTTAAAAGTTTAGTGTTTTGTGGTAGTTTAAAACTAAATTTTATTAAATTGTATGTTTTCATGTGTCAACATAAATGTTTGAAAGTGATGTGAAGCTATTGTATGATCAGCAGGAGGAATCTTGCTGCCAGAGTTTAGGTCAAATTCACTGTTAAATACTAGGAACATACAAGAGATTGCATTGAAGAACTTCGTTTTCAGGCTTTAAGTGCAGTGCCCGAGAGGCTAAGGGATCAGAATAAATGGCCAAGTTTAGTTTTTAAGCTAGTCAAGACCATTTTAATGGAATTAAGACAACACCATTTTGTCCTCTTGAGGATCAGTCTTCCCTCAATTGGATCTGTTTCAGGGTAAGTCTACACTACAGCGCTACATCGGACCTAAAGAGAATAGAAACAAATAATGTGCTTTGTGCGTTCTTGTCTTTTGTTGTTTCTTTTGCTTTTTTGGTGGGTTTTTTTTATTTTTTTTAAAAAAGACTAGCTAGCAAGTCTGTTTCTGTGAAAATTGATATTTGTTTGTTAACACTGCTTTGCCCCCTCAATCACTGCCCAGGAGGCTGTGGCTGCACAAAAAGCCCCTAGTGGCTGCATGTACCTATGGTGGCCGCATTTGAGAAACACTGGTTTAGGCTGATCCTTTCTGTTGTGTGAATAAGATTAGACTTGTAAAGGAAACTGGTCTTCTACAATAGTTACATTAGCACATTCCATGCATTCCTGGATTGTTCTCTTTGGAGTCAGTCAGGATGAAAGTGCCTTTATTTTCTATAGAAAACTTAAGTATGTTCAAACAGATTGCAATCACTAGTTGTATTCCTTCCCCCCCCCCCCTCCCCAAAAGCAGGGGTACCCAGCATGTAAGACTTTCTATGCAGGTGTGAATCTTAGCCTCATGGTACAGAGACTCTGAAGGATTAGATATTGATGTCAGAGTAGGTTTAAAGTTTGGTTCATTACAACTATTGAACTGTGTCTAGTGGATGTGGGCATCTACATCAAAAAGATGTTCATTTAGAATGCCTACTCTGACAGCCCATGTGTTACTTGCAAAATCCAGAAACCACTAGCTTTAACAGTTCATTGTGTTCATCTAACTCCGTTCAGTTTGAAGGAAGTTTTTGCCTGGGCCAGACAGATCCAGCTGACCTCTCATGGCAAAATCAAGGTCAATTATAAAGTTTTTTTGCGACATGACTAATCTCAGCAAGGGAGTAGCTGAGGAGACTACTGTGTACATCACAATAGCTTTCAGCTTACTGAATGCTGTTTATTCTGACTACTCAGTAGTGAGTATTCACTCTGGCTTGCATGTATTTCTTCTTAAAATAAGCGTTCTAATTTTAACCTGACAATATTTCAGATGTTCAGATCACAAGACATGGTTTGAACTTGAGCCAGCAACAATACTGCTTATGTTAGCTGCTGCATTAATCTCTAGCAACATGATGTCATCTAAAGATCACTTGGCGTTTTCATGCAATTGCTCCTCACTTGCTTTTGAAGCAAGTTAACATGGTCCAGTTGTAATAAAAAGATCATAAATTGCACCCATATTTGAATAGTTTTACACACTTTATGCTGTAACAATCCTAGAGTTTAGATCAGAATTAGGCTGGTAACACAAAGTACCATTACATGGGAAAAATGTTACCTGAAATGGCAGGGATTTGCGTTTGTGCTCAGAAGGACAAAAACAAGCTTTGTTACTTGCTGCCCTAGAAGCTGGCTATTGCAGGTTTAGGAAGATTGCTGTGAGGTGGAGTGTAAGCAACAGAGGAAAAACCTCATGTTTGACACCCAGGTCTGCTTATTTGCAGGATGCATAACATGATTGTCCCTGCAGCATTTTTGTTTTGAGTCAAATATTTATGCCGCCGATGACAGCTCCCAAAAGGGGCAACCCAATAACTACGCTTGTATCGTGATTAGTTTTAGTAACAGGCCAAAAAAGGAGAGAAATTATAATCTATATAGATGTCACCATACTCAGCCCACATTGTCTTGGGTGAAACCTCACTCAACCAAACTCTTTAGCAAGGACAACTGCAGATAATGCCTCTTTGGTCACAGTAGTATACCTGTGATTAAAAGTGTGTTGAGTTGTACTCTTGCAATAGAACAGGTCCTCAGCAAATGCACCTATGCTAGGTAAATTAATTCAAAGAATAAGCTGCTGCCACTGACAGAGGTAGTTTAGGCCACAGACATGTAAAGAATACTTCCATTTTAATTAGTTTTTTATCTAAATTAAACCATTATATGGTTCAAAGTGAAATTAAGAGATTGCACTAGCTATCACATACTGTTCATTTGGCCTAACCTTGGATCTCCACACTGAAATTGAGTCAAAGAACTGATTTTATACAGCCTTTTCATCATCTAGTAAGAGATGGGTCTGCTTCACAAAAGCTCTTGTAAATTTGGCCTGTATAATGGCTACACTAGATTATGAATAATTTTTCTACAAGAAAGAATGTTGAACTTACGCTTTAAATGCTGGAAGGTAGGAGTATAGAGAAATGCTGCTTAAGTTATAAATAAATGGCAAGTGTTTGTTAATATCTGTTGTTGCCCAGCTGCTGAAGAAGGTGTTTAATAACCCCTGGTCCCCACCTGAAAGGGAAAGATGGAGAGTTAGCAGGCTGCATGAACACAATCAGTATTCCTGTTTTAAGTTTCTTCACTAAATCACGGATTCAAGACTCAGTTTAGTCATGTGAGCTAGCACACCCAGTAGGAATCAGCAATACAGTAGCATTCTATTTTTCTTAAGTTAGTTTTCTTAAACTATAACATTTTCACCATTGGGAGGGCACATTAGCCCTCTTCCTCTTGCCAGAGGCAGCTATAGATTTGTAAACTTAAGTCATACTTTAGGCTATTTTACCTCCCAGAAGACAGCCAAAGGCTTAGAATCCCTACAGGTATAATTTACATGTGAACATGCATTTGGTCTTGCATGATGCAACTCAGTTTCCATTCACAACTTGAAGTTGAGTTAAATTGGAGTAGTAAACATTGGAAGTGTCAGATTTGTTATTCCAGTTGCAGTGAGGCAAATACAGTAGACTAGATTATGATCTGTCACTCCAGATTTACACATGTAACCAAGATAATTCTGACCCCCGGTTGATTATTAGAGGCCCACATGTGGCTCAGCAGTCCTGTACATAATGAAACTGCTTTTTTGGATCAAGGACTGATTGGTTTGCTAGAAGCAGTGTAGGCCTTAATTACATTTTCTGAGAGATGTCACACTAGAAGTCAACTATATTAAAGCTCCTAGTTAGCTTCATAAGCTTATGTGAAACTAGAAGTTTTATGTTTCAGTTGATGCATGCAATAGGTGTTCAGACCCCCATTTTGAATGTAGGCTAGTTTACAACAGCAGAAGTCAGTGAATGATTGCCTGGATGCAGAGCCATTATGACGTGTTTTCCTAAGAGACTTGGAATGCTGAACAGAATGTAGGAATTTGACGAGAACGTGGATTAGTCAGACTTTGCTTGTGTTGTTCACCTTGACATTTGTTCTTTACTTACAGAAACAGCCTCAGCACTTTTCCAGACCAAGAACTACGCAAGCTCCCCTCGAACTCTCTCTGTTTTAGGACATGATAGTGCTATTCTGAATTTGATCTTATAATGTTGGTAAAGAGTAGACAGCTTTGACACACAAGTGAGATTCCTGATGTATGTTTTTGGATTAAGGTAGTATTAAAATTATTGTATTACTACTCTCCCCCCATTGTTAGTATGACTAACAATTCCATTATATTTATGCCAGCCAGCCAGGGCAAAAAAGGTGTATGAGAAACCAGACTATCACCACTAGCAGAGCCAAAAGGTAAGATAAAACAATTCTGAAGAAATCATGGCAGTGTTTTACTATTAGCTTTTTGCCAAGCAGCCAATTGATACAGCAGTAAGTTAGAAGTGACATGTGTAAGGCCCTACCAAATTCAGTCTATTTTGGTCAATTTCACGTTCATAGGATTTTAAAAATAGTAAATTTCATGATTTCAGCTATTGAAATCTGAAATTTCAGTGTTGTAATTGTAGGAGTCCTGACCCAAAAAGGAATTGTGGGGGGATCCCAAGGTTATTGTGTGTGTGGGGGTGGGGGTGGTACTGCTACCCTTACTTCTGTGCTGCTGGTGGTGGTAGCACTGCCTTCAGAACTGGGCAGCTGGAGAACACTGGCTGCTGGCCGGAAGCCCAGCTCTGAAGGCAGAACTGCCGCCACCAGCAGAAGCAAAATGGCATGGTACGGTATTGCCACCCTTACTTCTGTGCTGCTGCCTGCGGAGCTGGGCCCTCAGTCAGAAGCTGCCACCCTCCAGCCTCCCAGCTCTGAAGGCAGCAGTTCAGAAGTAAGGGTGGCATGGTATAGTACTGCCAACATTCTGCGCTGCTGCTGATGGGGCGTTGCCTTCAGAACTGGGTGCCCGGCCAACAGCTGCCACTCTCTGGCTGCCTGCTCTGAAGGCAGCGCAGAAGTAAGAGTGGCAATACTGCAGCCCCCCCTAAAATAACCTTGCAACCCTCCCCACAACTCCCTTTTGGGTCAGAGACTCAGGACCCCCAATTTGAGAGAAACTGGTATCCTCTGTGAAATCTGGCCTTTTGTGGGCTTTACCCTATACTATACAGATTTCAGAGGGAGAACAAATTTCATGGTCCGTGACGTGTTTTTCATGGGTATGAATTTGGTAGGACCCCAGACATGGGGTAAGTTTGAGAGAGCACAGAAACTAAGTGAGTTTGTCATCCGATGTTATTAGGAAAGCTCTTCCAAGTCAAGAGATATGCAACTATTACTATATATTAGGAACTTGCATGCCTTTATTTTGTAAGACTTCTACCATATTAGAAAGTGTCTCTGCATCTAAATGTTTGAGATGCATATTCCTATGGTGTTTTACCAACTGAACACATCTTAATACAGTTCTGTTACAACAACAGTTTGAGGTAGAGGAGCCAGACCTCCCATGTTTTGTGTTGGTCTGTAAGTTTAGACTAAGTGATTCTACTATCCTGAGTGATTGTTTGGAATAGATTTGCATGTAGACACAAAGAACAGCTGTAAGTTTTGCATCATATAACTAGTCCTCCTGCATAGTACAGGTTACTAAATTCCTCCCAAACACCATTATCCAATACTTCCTCTCCACTGCATATTCTTCGCTCCTTATGTTATGACTGTTTCAGTGTCCTAGTCTTACTGAAAACCAAGAGCCCCTCCAATCCCACCAAAGTGGAATGCCAGTTCAAGTTAGTGTTGTATAATAATTGTGCAATATGCTACTACAGTTGCAGGTATAATCAATACTTTAGCATCTTACATCTACACGTTGTTTTAGATCTGAAACTATTAACTGCTAGAATACCAGCTTGGATCCCATGCTAGAAGAAAATCTAGTAGAACCAGTTTCCCTTGCACTCCTCTAAACTATAAGATAGGTAGACTTTTTATTCTAGCTAGTCTTGCTTTTAAATTCATAAAGCCCCAGGTTTTTAGAAGTTTGCTAAAAACACTGAAGTCTTGTCTAAGGCAAGCATCGGACATTCCAGTTACTAAGTTCAGTTTCCCTTCTCCCTCCCCATTAGATACAGTAGCGTGGACCAAGATTACGGCATCATGTTATCCTAAACCTTTAGGCCAGCTGAGTTCACAGATCAGATCAATTTATCATTTCCCAGAAATGGAAAACTCGTGGACATTTTTAGTCTGTCTTATAAAATAGACATTTTGATACTTTGTAGTCATGTATACCAATATTTGAGGCAAGCAGTATTATATTGGAAGATATTTTCACAAACTTCTTGGGGACCTAAGAAAGAATTAGTATCCAAGAGTTGTGACTATTGTATGCTGTATTAAAATATTCAGCAAGTCTTATGGCCACTGACAATTGCTTTCTTACTGTAGAAAGTGGCACTGAGTTAAAATGAGTATTGTAGTGTGAATCTTGTTTACCAGGGTGGAATGCCTGAGCTATATTTTCTTGTACCCTATCCCTTAAGGATTGGTGTTCTGCTGAAGATAGCTCTGGTGAGCAGATATGATCACAGCAGAATGGCATGCTACTGTAAGACTTCAGCAGTGGGCATGTGCAAGCTTTTTTTGGATTATGACAGAAATTTAATAAAGTGCTCCTGTTTTAGAGAGTGACGGGTCTGGGAGTATAACAGACCCAAGTGGTGGAAACAGTATGAATAGAGTTAGAACATTAACAGTGCTCTTCCACTACCCTTATAGGTCAGCCTTAAGCTTCTTTTTTGTTACTAGATTCAATTCTTATAACTAGGTCTGCAAAAAAGCAGCTTTTTTTATACATTATACAATTACATCAAAACCTATTGATCTAATAATGCTTATGCACAAAGTTTAAGATGGTACAATGACATACTAACAATTCATTTCCCATGTTTAGGAGTGAGATTTTTTGAACACCACATTAGAGTCCCTATCATAGCAATAATGTAGGTTTTGCTTTATAACAGTGGTTCTCAACTTCTTTACCATTGAGGGCCCCATATGCAGCTCTCTAGTCTGTGTTATGTGGGCCGCATCCACACAACATAAATACTACCTGTATGGCCCTGAGGATGTCACATAGGCTGCAGATGTGTGCTGATTCAGCTGCAAGTGGCCCATGGGCCGCGGGTTGAGAACCACTTCTTTATAAACATGGGACTAGCTGCATGTTGGAAGAATGCTTGAGTTTAGCACTCACTGAAATAATTTGAGACAGGCATGCTAGTTAGCAGCACTTTTAGATCCTTGGCCATAGTATCATTGTCAATACCATCAGATGAAGTTATTGTCTGACCCCAAAGCAGCACAACCATGATTTATTCTGTTAAATTTATTATGTGCTACACTAGTTGCTTTATCAAGCTCTTTATGGCTACAGTGGGGATTTTGCATGATAGAGACTGAAGTCAAACTTCCTGTCTGACACCAGTTTGTCAAGCTAACCTCATTTGAAATAGTATTTTAGGATAGCTACTCTCAGGAAGAGTCTTGGGCTTCAAGTGAACCACAGCTCCTCTAAGGTTTTAAAAGATACTACCGAGTTAGTGGGAGACCAGTTGTCAGGAATTTGTCCCAACTAGATTTGAGAGGTATTTCTTGATACTAAATTAGATCAAAAGCCTGTTTACTCATGCTTTTACATATGCCACAGGCATATTGCTTGACTGACATTTTATAACCATGTCAAACAAAATGCCTATGGCATATGTAAAAACATGAAGTGCAGCAGGACCTAGAGTAGAGCCAGGTGACAACATGGGGTTATTCAACCCACGGCCTTGAAGTTATCCTTTTTGATACTGTTTTCTTCATGAACTTGAACTTAATGTAGCCACTTGAGAGTCAAAGCTTCAGTACTACAGAAATACTAAACGCAGTTTCTAGTAGCTGATTAGTTTAACTTCAGTGTATTCTTGTATGGCTGATAATTTTGTACTTGTGTATCTTGCAACTAAGTTCTATACTTGTTAGCACTGGCTGTGATTAATACATCTTCAGTCTGTAAAGTTTCTTGTTACTAGAATTCTAATAGAGATTACCACTGACTAATTCAAAGGCTAAATTCCTGCTTTTTATTGCTTTTGAGGGCTAAAACCTGAGTAAGGGCAGAGTTTCTTCACCATTAAGTCTTATCTAACCCTCAAGGTGATAGTCCAGTTTAGTTTGCTGGTCCACAATGTAGCAACTGTATGGGATTGCTGGACTGAACCAGAAGCCCTTTTTTTGGCATGTCCAGTTATTCAGTGAGGCAGCAAATTCAACTGTACTACCAACTTACTTGAAAATGGTGCTCCAAAGGAAGTTAACACAGAGGTCATCTACAGTCAATAGGCCACTTGTAGAATCTCATTTGGCCACCATTCTAGATTAAGGGGCCCATTAGCAGTACTTGCCAGAATGAATACAAAAAAGCAAGGAACTGCATGGGCCAGGAAATTTACTCTTGGGACTATTAGGTCTGAACTCTCTTTGGAGGTAAGAAGCCTGCAAGACAGTTTGCTACTCAATCAGCATGAACAAGGTTGTTAAAACTAGTTAGTAACACCAGAGATGACCCATGCTTGCCAATAGTGTGTGTGTGGGGGGCAGAATGAGGGCAGCTGACCTCAGCAGTTACCAAGCATGCTCAGTACAAACCAAGCAGCAAAGGGGGGGGGGGCAGGAGAGAAGAGGGGGGGGAAATCACATGACCCTACATGCTTCCCCCACATGCATTGCCTCTGAGTAATACCACTGTTGTCTCCATAGAGACATCTCCCCCCCCCCCCCTTTTCTTTTTGAGGAAATGCTGCTATTGATTAATAAAAACACCTCTAATTTTACTCAGCTATTTGACTAGCTGATGAGAGTAGAAGAAATGTTTCAGAACAAATCATTTCAAAAAGCCACTTAGAGCAGTCCAACTTTGGATGGAAACATCATGTTCACTTTATCTCTAAGGATATCCACAAATGATTTTTGTGAAAAGTTGAGTTGATGGGAGCTTATTTTCACTGATTTAATCAGTAAGTGACCAACACAATCAAATCCATTAGTGACTAGTTTGTATCTAAAATGCGGGATACTGGTTTATAATCTAAAGAATCTTCATTCTTCTAGTTGAGAGCTACAGAGAAAGTTTTAGAAATGGCTGTTTAGTTTGGCCTACCTTTCCCACTTAAGACTCATTAAGGTCCCTCTGAAGTCCATCTAGGCCTTTAATACAAGATAAGCTTATTAATGTTTGATGTTAGATTTCTGACTATAATGAAGTCAGACTCAATTTATAGGAGTCCATGCATATGAGTTTCCTGTAAACATGAGTACTCTTTCCAATGAGGTGCTGGAATTTTAGAATTCTAATGTAAGTGGTGTCCCCTAAGGCATGCCCATCTGAGACATTCCTCCTCCCCTCAGCATTTTAAACAATCCAAACTTCGAATGTTGGAGTCAATACATACCATCAAAGCTGCCTTTCTCTGTGGCAAGTTGTAACAGATGATTGTATGTTTCAATGGAAGGTCGATAAACAAAAACTCCAGAATTAAAACAGTCAGGCCAGCCTGGATCTGGTGCTGCAGATAGCTCTTCTTTCTCAAAAAGCTCATCAATATTTGATAAAACCTAGTTGTGGGGGGGAAAAAAATTGCTTTCTGTTTTCTAGGCTTTCTAACGCTTCATAGCATTGTTTTGTTGATTTTGCTATCCACCCCAAGATATGAAGGTAAGTGTTCATATCAAAGGTCTCATTTTATGGAGGATAGCTTTGACATGGATATATTCCCTTATTACTGCCAATTACAAGTTGTTTTGTAGGCTTAAGAGCACTTCCCTGCATACCAAGTTACAGGTCCCCAATAAGAAGAGGTTTCTATTGCAAGCCACTAGAAGGAACTGTATTCTGAATAGCAAATATATAACTTACCATTGTGTCTGCATCCATGAACACACATTTTGAATACTGAGTCAGTTCCCAGCAGTGGAGTTTTGTTAGTGTGACACCCAGCTCAGGTCTTTTCATTAGTGCTAGATGGGCTGAATCTCCACTGTCCAAGACATCTACCAATAAGATTTCATCGAAGACTTTTTCTAGCACTTTCCTGTGGAAAGTAGTAATTGTTGATTTATTTTTGCAAGTTAGTCTTTCCAATATCCCCAACCCCAAGATAGTTTTGTATTGCCTAGACACTTAGTGCACAATAAGGATTTGAAGCCTAGACTGTCTTGTATTTAGTCTTTTATTTAAACAGGTGCACAAGAGTCTTGTCAAGTTTCTAGCATAGAAATACCTTAGTTACCAGTTAGTGCTCCTGACTGGTGCTGGAGTAGTAGCAATGAGAACTGAAGCCCTGTGTATATACACAAGTCAGGCAGATCAGGTCTTGTAGTTTGAGCCTCCCACACAGTTTGTCTCAGCCAGACCTGAGAACACTGCCTCTTGGTGAGGTGACAGACTATTTTAAGCTTATAGCTAAGAAACAGGAAGCTATTAGACTGGTCTGTGCAGGACTTTGGACAGCAGCTGAATCCTGAACAGTTCTTGTTGATCTTTAAAGCCACAAGGAACAAACCCAACTGCTGCTAGTTTATCTAGCTCATCAAGAGAGTGTTTACTTAGCCATGGCTCTTCATGTGGCAGTGAGTGCAGTAGACATCTAGGTAGTTTAGTTTACTTTCTTTTACTTGGAAATAGTCTCTTGGAGCAATGTTGTGTCCACTGTAAGTTAAAAGCATCATATTAATTCTGAAGAGCTAAAGTGAAATAAGATATACTATGAGTTCTTAAAGCTCTTGGCAGTTATGCAAGTCCAGTTTTTATCATCGTTTAGTCTACCCACTAAAATTAAACATCAGTATCCGTAGAAGTATCTTGATTTCTACAGACTACTTTGAGGGACTAATGCTTATGGTTTCAGATTTCTTGACATTTTACGTTTAATACCAGTAGTGCAGGTTGGGCTAGCCAACCCATAAGCGTCTTGAGTATTTTGAGCTGCTATCAGGGAGTTAAATTGTAAATTTGTATAAGTTGAATGGTCTTGAACTACAACTTTACCCTCTAGATTGTCAACGGTTGTACTTTAAGTGATATTCAATATTATTCTAGTTCCAGGGAAGTTAAAAAAAATTACGTCTAAAATATAGATGAATATTGCAGATCAATAATAAAATCTTCAAGTTCTATTCATGCCACATTCCACTGGCTGTCCAAATAGATTTGTTTTAATTGTTATGTTGGAGTTTGTACTTTCATGCCCTCCTCTTCAGGAGGAAACTGTTAGCCTGGTAGACAGGAAGATGATTCACCTGAATAGAATGCTGTTGTATAAGTGAGGCACGAGTTGAGAGCCTTGAGACTGATTAAGTAGCCCATTTTGTGTTAGATAGTAGAGATAAACCTGGAATCACCTGTCATTATAGCAAGCAGTATTTGGCCAAGACAGCTTCCTGTGGATTAGATAACAAGGGTCATGTAACTAGTCCAGCTAGTTACTTCCCACTCCCAAGTTCAAAGGGAAGTCATGGCCTGAAGTTAAACTCATCTAGTCAAAGATTTCTAAGCTCTGTTCCATGCCGAAGTTTAGCTTTTGTTGTAGCACAGGCTTGTTACATTAATATATTCAGTGACAGATAAGACTGAGAAGCTCAAAGGATGAGCTATAACCAACTTGCTTATTTCCTGCCTTCATGAGGAATTTAATATGAAAGGTAAGTATTAAAGTTCGCAAGGGGGGGATGAGTTGTTTCAAATTTGAAGTTCTATCTAATTTACTTATATGGCCTCCGTTACTAGATTATCCAGGTGCCTCGGCTTTTGATGCATTTATCCTCAAAACATCTATGAGTTAGAGAAGGACTAGTCTCCCCCATTTTACAGATGGGGAACAAAGGCAGAGAGATTAAGACTTGAACAAGGTCACAGGAAGCCTTGTAGAAGAGCAGGGTACTCAGCCTTGATCTGAGTCTCAGGCTAGTGCCCTAAACTACTGTGCCATTGTGCTAGGCAGCAAAAGAGACCCTACCTTGAAGAACCTGTAGTTTAAGGCTATGTCTATACTAGAGATCTTACAGTAGCGCCAATGGGAGAGCGCTCTCCCGTCAACATAATTAATCCACCCCCAATGAGTGGCGTTAGCTGTGTTGGTGGGAGAAACTTTCCTGTGGACATAGTGCTGTTCACGCCAGTGTTTATGTCGGTGTATCTTATGTCACTCGGGGGTGGTTTATTCACACCCCTGAGCAACATAAGTTATATCGACATAAGTGGTAGCATAGACATAGCCTTAAACTACAACACAGACAAGGGGTAGGAGAGGAAGCATTCTCTCTATTTTACTGATGAAGGGAGGCAGAGAAAGATTATATGACTTGCCCAGAAAGTCTGTGGTGGATCCAGACATTGAACTTTCATCTGAGTCCCAGACCAGTGCCTTAACCACAAGACCATCCTTTCTCTCGTTGGCTAGTGGATTAAATTTAGCTATTTGTCAGTCTCTTCAGTGTATGACTTGTCAACCAGTATGCTCTGATTGGATAGTTTACTGCTGGAAGCAGCAAGTGTATAGAAGTTCACAGAATACTAATTGGCATCTACTGCCCTTAGTGTTTTGTAATATTCCGACCAGCTTTAGAAGGTCATGACAGAGAGCTTTCATTTGGGGGTTAAAAATTACTGTAACAGGAGCATTCAATGAACAACTAGGTGAAAATACTCATGAAGTGACATACCTCATGGGAGCAGAGACCTGAGGCGTTATGAGCACAGTTAGTTTCTTTATTGTTCTGTGGTGTTGCAGAGATGAACCCAAGACCAGTGCTCCTTTAACATAAGAGTCATTCGTAGCTAGAGTCACAAAAGACTGATCTTGAAAAGGAAGAGAAGTTGTGTTAGTATTCACATTTAGTTTTAAATCAAAGTATGCTTGCTAAAATTATTCAGTTCTACCATTGTATTTCACGCCAGAAGGTGCTAGGCAGAGAGTTATGTTGAGGAGCCTCAAAAGAATAAATAAACCACTCACTGTGTTTAAGATCCCTTGTACATTAGTAGGCATGCACAACATTTATGGAAGAGGTTGGCACAGTTGAGATATGCTACAGCAACATGTCTTGATTAGATCAGCCAGTGCACTGACAGACATGGTCCTAAATGTAGAAGGATGCACATTCCAGATTGTGTGGAGAGAAATTCAACTGCCACATCCAATCCTCTAGTTTTTACCAAGTAGAAACTTCATTCAGGTTCTAGCTGAGTTGAATCCAAAGTGTAAACTAGAATGGATGCAAGTTCCTCATCTAGAAGGAACTCAAAATCCACACCATGGACTGCTAACTGGGTAAGTAGACATCAGTTGCAAATGTAAGGTGTTTTTGTACTGGCCAACCTGCAGTGAGTATCTGTCTGCCAGATAGTACTACTTTAGTTCTAGAGTCAGTCTCTCAGTAAGGTGTTTAAAACTGAATATCCAGGGAGTTATGTTAGTACATTTGATATTTCACTTTTGCTGTAACATGTGAGATCTACATATGGAGTAACAGTATTCTGAAATTTTATCGGAACTTGCAGATTATTTGTTTAGCAAGACTTGCAAAACTACAATGAGAATGCAAACTTTTAATGGGAAGTGTCTTATCTTCTATCTAGAAATATGAAAAGGAGTGAATTACAACTTGAATGGTGGCAACATTTAGGCTTGTAGGAGTTACTTACAGAGTTATATTTCACATTGTTCTCTACCACAAACAATATCTGGATTATTTTAAACTACAGTAAAACCATCCATACATCCCTCTGGTGCCCCAACAATCTTAGATACACTAACATACCCCTCTCATTTACCCCTGATCAAGTCAGGTGACTCAGCAACAAGAACTTAGTTTAAAGTCACGTTTAGCTAATGCATATTTTAGTTGCCAAGCTATCTCTACCAATCCTACCATAGAATCACTATTGACCAAACAATTTTTGCAATTTAGTCACATTTATGCAGTTGACCTATCCTTTGAAGATTAAGATGCTTTGCAAAGAAGCATGCTCACAGATTTATTCGTCCACCTTGGAAACAATTTTTGTAGAAGTCAGATTTTAAATCAACATTAAAGTTTTAGAAATAAACCTATTTAAAATTAAATTTGAAATAATGACAACCTATAAAGGCCTAAAATAATTAAAATTAAATAAAAAAATCTTAATTAGTACATATTTGCTGCCAAGTTTTAAAGAAAAAAATGCATTAAGCTGGTGAAAATCACTGCCTAAAAACAAGCACATGTAACCAGGGTATGACATGCCAAACCAGCTTTTGACAGTGGTAGTCTCTTCTGAAGGTGAGGAGAGAATATTTTCCTAGTTTCATTTCAGTTCAGAGTTAAGAAACCAGCTGATAATGGAAAAAGCAGGAAATCTTGTTTTCCTCTTCCAGTCTATTAATAAGAATAGGTGAGAAGAATATATCTACTAGTTCTAAAGTCTTGAAGGACACTGACCAGAAACAATCTGTTCAATAACTATAGGTAATACTTACTTTGTAAAATAAATCAGCTAGATTTAAATACTAAATATTTGATAAGTTTTGATAAGAAAAAAGTGTGTGCAGCACACTTAATGTAGTTTTATTTAATAAAGAATAAAGCGCTGTTTTTGTGCATTGTAACTGAATTTGAGTTCCTATTCAAGAACTTGACAAATCAAAAGTAAAAGGTTAATCATTTGGTAAATCATTCACCATTTTCCAACATAATATAAAATGTTGGAATTAATCTGAACAAGTGTACTTTAAGATATAGAATTACTTAAATGTGTAAAGGTATGGTGTGGCCTCTTTCTGGTTAGCAAAGAGAAACAACAAGGTTAGAAGGCTCTATTTGGTAGCCATTAAAATGTTTGTTTGCAACTAATCAGTGAAAATCAATTTTTATTTTACTAAAGAAAAAAACAATGCAAAACATGATTTAAATCATTGATGTAAATCAATATTTTCTGTTTGCTGATTTAAATGATTTAAATCAGTTTAAACCACCAATTTCAAGTCCACCCTGGTTGCTTCCAAGGAAGACGGGTAGCTGTGCTGAGAACTGTGTTTACTGAAACAAGTTTCAGAATTTTTATTTTGCTTTGAGGAGATTTAGCTAGATTTTATCAATGTAGTTCATATTTTGAATGATACAGAAATGTGACTGCAGGTATTTTTAGAGCAACAAGGTGGGTGAAGTAATATCTTTTATTGAACCAACTTATGTTGGTGAGAGACAAGCATTCACAGAGCTGTTCTTCATGTCTTTAGTAACCAGAGACTTCTGAGCACCTCAGGTGATTGCACATTTTACATAAATATAGAATAAAAGAAATAGTGATCACTTAAGAAGTTTGCCAGGGCAACAGCTTTGACACAACAAACCTCTAAGATGTGACAAGCTGAGGTAGACTAACACTGTCAAAGGGCTACAGTCTTGCAGGAGTTAGTTCTGCACAGAAGAGGCCACGCTTTGAGTGCCATGTGGAGCAACCCAGTGGCAGGTATCATTCACTTTCTGCAGTCCACAATGCAAACTGCAGATTTATGGAGCCATCCAGAGAGTTGCCTGAGTGTGTAGTGCATATTGCTGTGATAGTTCTTATGCAAGAATGGTTGGATTAGAACCTGAGGTCTGCAGCTATGTCTTAGCCTCAAAATGGCAACTGGGGATTCTTCCCCCCCATTTCTTTGCTGCAACCACCACCACTCCTTAAAATTTTAGTGGAAAATTATAGTAAATTGGCCACATTAGTTATGAAGCAAATTAAGATTCTTATTGCAATAAAACCCAGCCCTTGCAGCTGAAATGCAATATTAGAAGCTAAATATGAACTTTATCTCAACTTTATTTATATTTTTGCATTAAAATTTTATGTGGAGTCAAGATTGACTTGTGTAACCAAGTTGCTGTAGATGAAGAAACTGGTATTCTTAATCTCATAGGGTGGACCACATCTTTGATATTACAAGTGAGATGTTAAAGGGTCCTCTTTAAGGCATACATGTTAATTTTTTTCAACTACAGCAGCAGTTGCCTATATGGCAAATTGTAAGCAATTGTAAGAGTCTGATGTACTTTAAGGCAGTTTAGTACCTGGAACCTACATAGCCAGCAGCATTGTGGTCAACAAGTTCTGTAGACCAATCTGAGAACCTTTGGCTAGAATGGCAACAAAATTAAATTAATCTTGGGTCATCTAGATTACAGTATTTATAAATGTTTCCAACCTAGCCAAGTTTTAGACTTCAGAAGAGTTTCTACGGAGTCATGCATCGAAGGGGATACATTTCCTACTTAAATTCACTGAGAAGTAGTGATTTGTAGTAGTTCATGTTGCTTGGTGCATCTAGGGCAGGGGTAGGCAACCTATGGCACGTGTGCCGAAGGCGGCACGCGAGCTGATTTTCAGTGGCACTCACGCAGCCCGGGTCCTGGCCACCGATCCGGGGGGCTCTGCATTTTAATTTAATTTTAAATGAAGCTTCTTAAACATTTAAAAAATCTTATTTACTTTACATACAACAATAGTTTAGTTATATATTATAGACTTAGAGGAAGAGACCTTCTAAAAACATTAAAATGTATTACTGGCACGTGAAACCTTAAATTAGAGTGAATAAATGAAGACTCGGCACACCACTTCTGAAAGGTTGCCGACCCCTGGTCTAGGGACCGTATAGATAGAACAATTCCCAGTCTGTTAAGAACTTCAGAAACTAGTAGCACTAATGCTGAACTACAGCTCTAGAAGTCATGCATACTGTAGATGTAATTATCTGGAAAAATTCTGAAAAACTATTTTTCCATTCTGCCCCCATGAAGCCAGTATGAATACAGAAATTATATAAACTACTTGCATTAACTGTATCAGACAAGCAAGTTGTTAGTGTCTTAAGCAGTGTAAACATTCCTCTAGGAGCAAACACTTGTGTTCTTGTCCCTGGATTTGCAAGTTACTCTTCTCACTTTCCCACTGAATGAAGAGTTTTGTCTTGAAAAGCTAAGAATTCACTAGGCCTGACTCAGTGAGCCGCTAATGTATTGCATTTAAAAACAGGGATTGTACAGACAATAATAGTTTGACAAACTAGTGACTGCATCACTTGTGCCATCATTCAAACTAAAGTCTTTGTCCAGATGTTTTCTAGGCTACAAGGCTCTTCCAGTGATCTAACACCCTCATTGTTTACTTGTTAAGACCTTTGTATGGCATCAGGGGGTCTGCCTGCCTTTTTGAAACTGCATATTCAAGTACCACACTGCTGGATTTACTAGCCCAACACCACTGAGCAATACAGGAAATTCTTAGAGTGGCCAATGTAACATGTATAAGGATTTATGGTCTGATTGAAACATTAAATTAAGTTTGAGGATGAGCAACAGGGAAAGCTAGAAATATAAGGCAAATCCCTTCTGAGTTACTTGCTAGTTTTGCTCCCTTGGGACAGCAAGGCTTTATTTACTTTTGCTTAATGGAAGCGTGGTGTGGCAACCCCTTCAGAGGAGGGTCATTTGACATAGTTCAAGTCTATGCAGTATGAAACAGGACATGTTAGTGTTAACATGGAATATACCCTCCCTATGGAGCACCAAGCCTAGGCTGGTTATTATGCTTTGTATTGGTGTGGAAGATTCAGGCCACTTCTTTTAAATTTGAACACACAACAGTTATCAGAAACAATGAAGTTGCTCCAAACTGTGCTGTCAACAGGCTACGTTGTCAATTGACTTTTTAGTAACATCCTTCCATCAACTCCATCCCCTAGCTATTATTTCTACCACCCCCACTTTATGTTCTATTTATAGGCTACAGCAGCTGAACAGGGGAGTACCCTTCACACTAATGTGTCCGAGGGGTACTGTGGACACGTGCAAATCTATAGCCATGGGGCACCTGTTTTACTTGCCTGAACATAAAGCTTCTTCTGTCTCCCTCCAAAAGGCTGTCTTAGCCAGCGTAGAGCTATGTAGGACTGACCTGTTGCTAAGCAATTGTGACTGGTCCAACACCTTCTGTGGAGCAGCCCTCCTTCACATATGCCTGAGGTCACTATATTTACAAGTCTATGCTTGCCCTGTGTTTCCATTCTAGCTAGGTGGGGTTTTTTTTTTTTTGGGGTGTTCAGACTCCACCTCTCTGAGTTTCAGACAGTAGCAAGTTTAAATTCTGTAAATACAAGTTTCATTAGAATCTATGTAAGATCAATGGGGCATCTGTATGAGCTGTTGGGAAAAAAAATGCAAGGAAAGTTGTTTAAATAATTACCAAGAAGTGTGTTAAACCCAGATATAGCAGTACTAATAATCTGAAAGCAAAACTGACTTCCTCATTCCACTTTTCTTGGCCTGGGCCATCAGAGATGACAGAAGATCATCTACTCGTGGCAAGTTTTAAGAAAATTCTTGTGATGACAAGTGTTATTAGGAAAGATTAATAGAGGTTTTGAGCAGACAGCATCCCTTCAGCATTTGAAAGGCAGAGTCAAACGAACATCTTCAGACCCATTTAAAAGTATCTCCATTTTTGTTAGCTACACTTCTCTGAGAGATACCTGCTATTGCGAGAGCTAATGTTATTATAGCTGAAGGATCAGAGTTGTTAAATTTCATGCAGTTGAGAGTAGGTGGTCTTGTCAGTTTCCACCATGTATAGGGGTGTTACAGCTCGGGGGGTGGCTGTCTTTAAGAGCACAACACTGAGGAATTTGCCAAGGACCCCAGGGATAGGCATAGCACTAGAAGGTAGCTTTAAGTCGTTTTAGGGCAACTAGATTTCGAGTTGTCTCTTTTTTAATTTAAGCTTGAGCTGTTTGACAAGCCCCGATCAAGAAGCCGAACAGGACTTTCACGTCCTGGAGATGCACCCCCTGGATTCCACTTCAAGGCATAGGCGTCAGGGCCAGACCTGACCTTTCCCCAAAGTTCAGGGGACATTTGGGGCCAGGCCCATCTGTTCCGCAAGTTACGTGGCTGAGAAGCTGACCCTAGTTGCGTGCACACGGGGGTAACGCTCGCCCCAGCTCCTAGACCGCCTCCCGGGGGTGGCCCTGGGTGACGGGGCAGTGGTGCTGCAGGGGCCTCTCCCGCAGGAGCCGGGAGGGGGAGACAGAAGTGGGGGCATGCCGCGGGGGCGCGCGGCTTGCCCAGCGGGGAGGAGAGGCGCCCATTGGCCGGGGGAGCACTGGGGCAGGCAGGCAGCACAGCTAGCCTAAAAATAGGAGCCGCCATAAGCGAGCGAGCGCCGGGTTCCCCGCTAGGCCGAGCTCCGCTTCCTTCCTGCTCCGCGAGCCTCCGGCGGCAGCTCCCGCTCTGGGGGAGGGGCAGCCTTCCCGCGAGCCGGCCCGAGCCGGGGGTAGCGCCAGCCCGGGGCAGTGCGGGCAGGGGGCTCGGCGCAGCCCGGCCGCAGGAGCCGCCCCCGGTAACCCTCCCGCAGCTCCATCGCCCAGCCGGGCAAGGGGCTGCGCCGCTCAGCCCCCGCGGGCGGGCGGGCCCGGCTCGGGCGGGGCGCACTTACCAGCCATGGTGCCGGTGCCGGTGCCCGTACTGCTGCCCCTCCGCCCGGGACAGATGCTGCGGCCGCCGGCTACTCGCGAGCCGCTGCCGGAGCCGCCCTTTATATCTGGGCGGGCGGAGCCACGTGGGGCACGTACGCAGCCTCTCGCTAGCGCCGGCGTGGGGAGACTCGACTCGCCGGTCTTGGGGCTCCCAGCACGGGGCGAGGAGTAGCCCCTGTGCCAGGGCTGCCCGAGAACAGTCTTTCCTCGGGCTAATTCCTTCCTTCCGTTCCCTGTATCTGCTTTGCACGCACCCAGCACCGTGTGCTAAAAGCCAGATTCTCCATTCCTCTCCCAGGTGCTTTGTGCTGCCGGAAAGCTGCCCTGACGGCCTCGTTGGGGATTCACCTGGTGCTAGCCGCGTTCATTGCTGGGGTATCTGGGTTGCCGCCTGCTTCGCTGAAGGGGGGTGGTGGTGGTGAATGTGGCATTGCTTCCTCTTCCTTTCCCACTGCTAGAAAGAGTTTTGTGGCCTGAATTGCAGGGTTTGTGTGGGGTGCAAGACTCCCACAAAGAATGGGACGCCAAGCAGCTTCTGTGCTTTGCTTGTGCTTATGGCCAGCCAGGGGTTATGTTCTGATAAGTGACCCCGTAAAAATGACATGAGTTTTTTGTATTGTTCTTTCTCAACAACTTCCAGGTCCAGTTTGTTCACCTTACAAATAAAAATATATGTTTTCTACCTCCTAGTGCTGCAGTCTCCACCTGGGATCTGAGAGTCAAGCTGGATTTTGCCTGTTGCTTGCATCACTGCTGCTACTTCGGCAATCGCAACTCAAAATATTCTGTTGATAGTGCATATGAGAGAGAGAGAATCCAGCTGCTTGTCCCAAAGCTGTGTTGGCTCTGCAGGGATAACACAAATACAATCTTATTTGTTTCAGTAAGGTGAGCAGCTACAGGAAGTAAATTTGCTTTACATTTTTACAGTCATTTTTCTGACTAGAAGTACAATAAATTTCCACAGGAGCTTGATGAAATTGCTCAAATCAGCTAGCCCACAGACACTATACTGAGGGTGGACATTTTTTTTAGGCTAGGGATGAGCACTGATACACTGTGAATTTCAGGGCTTCCTGCCATGAGGGGTGCAATACATTCTGAAATGCAGGATGCCTTGCAGTTCATTCAATGCTAAGACAACAGCACAACAATGCTCACCAGAGAGAATACAAGACTTTAATATTATTATTCGTAGCACCTAGAGACCACAACTAAGGAGAGGATAAACTAAAGCTTGCTGAGTAGTCTGGGGCAAGGTTGGTTCAGATGATAAATGGTGGTTAAAACAAAGCATAAATAGTACAACTAAACCATACAATATGCCTCGTTAACAATCACAGCTGATTATGGAACAGAATAGCTCATACTCCCTTCAGAATCAGAAAGTAAAATACTAAAGATAAAATATTTGCATTTTAAATACTAAGAACTACATTATGGTAGCCCCAGTGCAGGGGAAGTGCAAGGTTCAGCAGCTGTGGAACAAAGTTACTAAAGATCTGAAATCAAAATTTTTTGTTGAACATTGTGGGCACTCTGTAGTAAGGACAAATTGTTATAGCAGTTGAACTGCTGTAAAATCTGGAGGAACAGCAGTGAAGTCAGTGGAGTTACTCCAGATTACACTTGTGTAAACTTTAGCAAAATCAAGGGAGTTACTCCAGATCTAGATTTATATCAGTGTAAAACTCCAGTGGTATCACTGAACTACTCCACATTTTACATATTTCAGGTGCACCTGAAATAAGAACCTTGCCCATAGAAAATAGGCTGTGGTGGACTGAAGTGAATAGTTGTGAACATAGAAACACCAAATAAATAGTTTGAACATTTATTACTTAAAAGCTTAGTGTGCACAGAAAACTTAAATCAGTGCACTATTTTAACTCTGATAGGGTTTCAAGTTTGGATGAGTCTATGGGAGATCTGAAAAATTAAAAATTTCTGTTTAGACAGTCAAACAGTTTAGATGCTTGTTCTCTCTTATTCAAACATTTTAAGGTTCCCTTCTCCTACCAATGATCCTTCTCCCTCCCTGCTTCAAAGTCAGTTATATTCTCCTCATTCCCTTCAAAAACCCCATCTTTCCCCAGAACTCTATTATCTCCTTCTTAACAGCCACAGTTCCCTCTCCAAGGCCTTGTTTTTACTAGGAAAACAGATGGTTTTTTTTACCACATTAGCTAACTAAATATTAGTTATATTATTATATATTAGAATATTAGCGTGGACAAGGCAGGTACAGTTTTAACATAGGTTAGCACATTGAGGTAAACATTAGGCTGTCTCCTAGCTAATGTGGTTTAAAAAATTACCTTTTTTCCTAGTATGGATCTACCCCAACTCTGCCAAGCCCCTCTCTATAATCCCTACCTTTGGTGATGCTCCAAATGGGTGATAGTATAATCCAGTTCAGAGGTGGACAAACCGTGGCTCACGAGCCACATGCGGCTCTTTTACAGTTAAAGTATGGCTCACGGCGCTCCCCCTCCCCGCATCCCATTCTCCACCAGACTGGGGTAGGGGGAGCTCAGGGATTCTGTCCTGTGGCAGGGTGGTGGGGCTTCTGCCCTGCAGGGAGGGGGATCTTGGGCCTTCAGACCTGCGGGAGGCACCTGAAGCCCTGAGCCCCAGCTGCCACACCCCACAGGGCTGAAGCCCTGAGCCCCAGCTGCCACGCCCAGCTCTCAAAACTTCTGAAGATTATCATATGCAACTCAGCAAGTCAGTAAGTTTGGCCACTCCGATCTAGCGGCTAGGTCACTTGGGTAGGACCTAGAAGACCTGAGTTCTAAACCCAGCTATGCCACTGATTTGCTTTGTGGCCCTGGGCAAGTTGCTTCACTTTTCTCTGTCTTTGTTTCCTCCCATTTTATATATTTAGACTATAAATGGTTTGGGGCAGGAACTGTCTCTTACTATATGTCTGAACATCATGCTTTATTTTAACCACCATTTATCATCTGAACCAACCTTGCCCCAGACTACTCAGCAAGCTTTAGTTTATCCTCTCCTTAGTTGTGGTCTCTAGGTGCTACGAATAATAATATTAAAGTCTTGTATTCTTTCTGGTGAGCATTGTTGTGCTGTTGTCTTAGCACTGAATGAACTGCAAGGCATCCTGCATTTCAGAATATATTGTACCCCTCATGCCAGGTAGCCCTGAAATTCACAAGATTTGAAGACAACAACACAGAAAGTGGTGAGATTCTCTGAAATTTCAAGATCAGGAAGTGTAGGCATCTTGCTAGGGTTTGGGAAGAAGCAGGGGTGATACTTACCCATAGTTATCAAACCTAAGAAAATGCTTTGGTTTAATATTTGTGATGAGACTTCCTTGGTTGTTTTCCCCCACCCAGTTAGGCCATTCCTGGATTTCACTAAGGGCTGGTGCAGTGATTGAGAAAAGGGTTGACATGCTGGAAATGACTGACCCAATGAAAGTTTGAGCAGTTTTGTTTCTGACTGTATTAATTTGACTCTCAGTTACACCCCACTGAGAAAACTCATTTGCTGTAGTCAAGTCGAGAGACATCCACTCATTTCATGCTCCAAAAGTGCAAACAGCTTCAGTGTTGCAAGATAGGGAGTACAGTAAGAATAGTGCTTAGCAGTTACCTTCTTCAAAGGGCTCTATAAACATTAATCAGTTAATCCTCACAGCTATGAGGCAGGTATTATCATCCCCATTTTATAGAGGAAGAAAATGAGGCTCATAGAGATTAAAGAGCATAATTTTTTACTCATTTATGCTAGTGTAAAAATACAGTGGCATTAATCTGGAGTTTATCTTAATTGACTTCAAGGGAGTTACTTCAGTCTTATACCAGTGTAAATTAGAGCAGCATTGGCCCTAAGTGACTTGCCCAAGACTATGCAGCAAATCAGTGGCACAGCTAGAATCAGAATTCAGAAGAACCCACTCCCCAATCTGTACTCCGTCATCAAGCCTTTGCTCATCATATAACACAGTAGACTTAGTGTGAGCTTGCAGGTAGATACTCCTGGGTTCTTGACCTAGGTGTGTCTGCATGGAGGCAGATTAATAAGGCTTCCTTTTTATAGGAGTTCAGTTTCATAAAGTTGAAATCTCTAGGACCTGCAGGTCTGCACATAAAAGCTACCATTCATTAGTCAAGGCTTAAACTAGAGTGATGATTGGAGAGAGATCCCTTTTATCATCTGTATAGCAGTGCAAACAGGCTGCACTGATGGTATTTAAAGCCTACCATGTAAGCAGCATATATCACCGAAGGGAAGGTGTCCTGCCATAGTAATGACTACATGGGTCAGAAGCAAATGTTAACTAAACCAGGCCCCAAGGATTCCCTCCCAAATCAGATTATAGTAGTAGAATAGCTCTTATAAGATAAATAATTGTTCTTTTGCTTCAAAATATAGAAAGCAACTTCCTACTGTCACATTTACAGCTTCCATAACAGCTGTACCAAGCATCTTTGCCATCTCAGCTGTATCACTCCAAATAATTCCCCCTACATTAACTGTTGAATATCTGAATTTACTCCCTGTGTCACAGTCCTCGTATCTGTTAACTGTACCTAAGTGTCTTGCATACATCCAATGCATTTTTGAAAATGCTTTCAAAATAGCAGTGTTGTAGTAGTGTTGGTCCCAGGATATTAGAGCGACAAAGTGGGTGAGAGAAGATCTTTTATTGGACCAATTTCTTTTGGTGAAAGAGACAAGCTTTTGAGCTATGTAGAGCTCTTCTTCTTCTTCAGAGTTCTGTGTAGCTCCATAGCTTGTCTCTTTCACCAGCAGAAGTTGGTCCAGTAAAAGATATTACCTCACCCACCTTGTCTCTTTAAAATAGTGAGTCAAGTTAAGAAACTTGGTATCATTTTTGACTGTGCCCTTTCCACAGATTAGCCCCCATGTGTCAGAGATGGTATAAAGGTGTTTTTCCACATGGTTTGCGCAGACCACACAATTGTTTATCTCATGACAACCTCACAACAGCAACTCATGTCCTTTTCGCTGCACGACTTAATTCCTTCTTATCAGGTTTTCAGC